ATATCTTACGGGCGAGGCTGCCAGGTTACTGACGAATTTAGAGGTCTCATCAGAGACATATAGCGAAGCTTGGGACCTCCTATGCGCCCGCTTTGACAACAAGAAGCATCTAATCTATAATCATCTAAACGCACTTTTCAATCTAGAGTCCATGAGCCGGGAAAATGACAAGTCATTACGCTCCTTGATAGATAACGTCAATAAGGACCTAAGAGCCTTATCTAGCCTTGGTGAGCCCACAGACAAGTGGGACACTATTATTATACATATGGTCTGCATGAAGCTAGACCCTATTACGAAACGAGCTTGGGAAGAAGTAAGAAACACTTTTGAGGATATGCCTAAACTTAATCAATTAACAAAGTTCCTACAAGACAGAGCAGGTATCCTGGAAACGTGTAACAACAAGACAAATGCAACTAGCACGCAGCAAATTCCAAGTAAAAACGTACACGCCTACAAAACATTAACATGCACAACAAACTACAATGTAACGCCAGTCAATACTACAACACAACATAAATCACAATACGCATGTACATATTGCAATCAAGATCACATCATATATAATTGCCCTGCTTTCCTAGCCAAGTCTCCCGAGCAAAGACAAGAAGAAGCATTTAAATTACGTCTATGTGGTAACTGTTTGAAGAGAGGACACAATGTCAGGGAATGCCGCAGCTCATCTTGCCGACAATGCCGCAAGCGACACAATACACTGCTACATTTTCCATCACAGCCCGCCGCCAATATCACGGTGCAGACTGCTGTTACTAAGGCTGACGACACTCCAGTCATAGCAAACATCGCGTCGTCTCAGCCAACAACGCAAGTCCTTCTATCGACGGCAGTTATCGAAGTAGTCAATCCGGAGACCAATGTAAGGCAGAGAGCACGCTGTCTCTTAGACTCAGGTAGCCAAGCTACATTTATCAGCAAAGCATTGAAGGAGAGACTGGGGTTAAAAACAATAGCAACAAAGTCGGTACCAATCATGGGCATGTCAGATACACCCTGTGGCTACATCTCAGAGAGGAGTGTAGTTCGTCTAGAATCAACAATTGGAAAATTCAATGTTACTCAAGCCTGCGCAATTTTACCCCAGCTCACTGGGAACATACCACACAAGTCCATCAAGCTCGAATACCTCAAGTTACCATCAAATATACAATTGGCAGATCCTACATTCAACAGCTCTAACCCAATAGATATTTTAATCGGAGCAGATTTATTCTGGCAAATCATCGGGAACGAACAAAAGAGCCTTGGACCGAACTTACCTGTACTAAGAAATTCGCAATTAGGTTGGTTAATCTCAGGGCCGATTTATACAAACACCCATATCAAACAAGTAGACTGCAATCTATCAACAAGTAAAACAAGCACCAAACACAATTCATCTGAAGCAGACTTACCAAATCCTAAGATTCTACCTACAATACAACTCGACGATGATCCAATCATGAAGATAGAAAACTATTCACAACTCAACCGACTAACGCGCACATTAGCATATGTTCTACGATTTGTTCACAATATAAAAAACAAGAATGCGAAGTTAACAGGCCCTCTCTCAGTTAGCGAACTAAACATGTCAATTTCACATCTATCTAAACAATCCCAAAAGCAATCTTTCGAGAAGGAATACGATGCGCTACGGAAAGGACAACAAATAGCAACAAAGAGTAAAATCTCGTCTCTAAGCCCCTTTCTAGACAAAGATGGAGTCATGAGAGTGGGTGGTAGATTGAACAAATCCAACTACAGCCAAGACAAGAAACATCCTGTAATTCTAGATGGAAAACACAAGCTTACCAAGTTAATTTTCGAAAGGGAACATTTACGTCAACTGCATGGTGGTCCCCAGCTTATACTGTACTCAATTCGTCAGACAATCTGGCCAATCGGTGGCCGACAATTAGCTAGAAGTACAGTCCGCGCTTGCGTCGTATGCCGTCGTCATAAAGGCCAAACGCTCACACCAATTATGGGAAACTTACCATTTGAACGCATCACTCCAGCATCCCCGTTTCAAACTATAGGAATGGACTTTGCCGGTCCCTTCAATATCATTAACAAAAAAGGTCGCGGAGCTAGGGTTTCAAAATGCTATCTCTGTCTTTTCATTTGTTTTAGATTTAAATGCGTCCACTTAGAGGCAGTTAGCGATCTATCGAAGGAAGCCTTTATTCTAGCTTTACGACGACTCATTTCCCGAAGAGGGATACCGCAGGAAATTTTCTGCGACAATGGTCGCAACTTTGTTGCGGCATCAAAAGAAGTCGGCCAATTTATTAAGAAAAATGCGGACAATTTTATAGATTTTGCTACATCTAAGAAAATAACATTCAAATTTCAACCTCCATATGCTCCTCATTTTTCTGGTTTGTCAGAAGCCGGCATAAAATCGGCTAAGCATTTAGTCAAACGCGTTATGGGCAACTCACACCTTACTTTTGAAGAGTTGTCCACCTTATTTGCACAGGTTGAGGCGATAATGAATAGTCGTCCTCTATCTCCATTATCCTCAACTCCTGATGACTACCTACCTTTATCTCCAGGTCACTTCCTCATCGGCCGGCCGCTGACATCAATTGCATCTACCGAAACACCACAACTAGAAGGTTCCTGCCGGACGCGCTACGAATTACTCGAAAGGATTCGTCAACAATTTTGGAAACGCTGGCAGAAAGACTACATCACTGAATTACAACAACGCAAAAGGTGGAAACAAAACAAAACAAGCTTGGCAGTCGGCGATCTTGTCCTCATACAAGAAGACAACACCCGACCACTAGATTGGCGCCTCGGACGCGTCGCCCAACTATTTCCTGGCGACGACGGCGTTCCACGTGTCGCAGACATCAAGACAACAAGAGGGACTATTCGTCGAGCTCTCACCCGGCTGTGCCCCCTGCTGGACGAACCGGGCCCCGAGCATGTTCGCGCCTAAACAGCGCTTTATGATGGGTTGCGAAACCGGTCCGCGCTTCCCCCACTCAACGCACAGGACCGCCCCTAAAATCTGCGGGCGCAACGTCTTATGCGCCCCCGCATCGATCAGTGTGTGTAAAATCCAACAGCAACAGTAACACTCAATACAATAAATACCGTGAAATAGTATACGTGTGTTTCAATAGAAGATTATAAGCCACATAAAGTGGCGACCGTAACAACACATAGCTTTTTTTAATTAAATGTACCACTAGCATGTTGCAATTTAAAACTTATTGGTCTAAATTTTAACAATTCCTACTATTGTACAGTCAGCTACATAAATATGTATACATTTACTTGCAACTTGCAAACAATTGCAATTTAATAAAATGTATGCCTGAGTCTATACCTACATTCTTCTGACTAATTCATGGTATTAACAAATATGTTTATATTTTTAAAACCAAAGCTTTTTACGTTTTATGAGTTTCAAAAATTTGTAAATGCATACACATTTATGTAGCTGACTGTACAAGGCTAATTTTGTTTAGAAACAGATAGCACTTGTTGATAAAGCTAGATAAGATTTGGATTACATAAGACCTTTGATTTTTATGTTCTTATTCAAAATACTATTTTTCTATTTAAATTTTAATTTATTTACATCTCTAATCATACTAATATTATAAATGCGAAAGTTTAGATGGATAGATGGATGTTTGTTAGAGTTTGTAGCCTAAATGGCTGAACGGATTTAGATGAAATTTGGTGTAGATGTAGAGGACAGTCTGGAAGAACACATAGGCTATTCACTTTTGTTTTTTTTTATTCCACACAGACGGAGTCGCAGGCGTAAGCTAGTTAATTATATTTTAGTTTTGTAAAAAAATCCCTCCATTCATGCAACTAAACTAGATAATCTGGATAGTAAGAAGATAAGCTATAGCTAGTAACACTTCTATCAGCCTACTATACAATTAACAATATTATTAGTAAAAAAAATATATAACTTTTTCATTTTTCATACAAGTATATGTCCATATTATTGTAATAATTATGCTAAATGTATTCAGTTAGTGTTTATGCTACTCACCATTTTAGTGATAGTAAGAAACATTTCCTCCACATTGATATTTTCTTTTGCACTAGTTTCAAACAATGGGATGTTCATTTGATTAGCAAACCTTTGGGCATCCTCTGTAACCACCACTTTCCTTGATGGACAGTCATTCTTGTTACCAACTGGAAAATACAAATTAATTATATAATACACTGCTGCTGCATATAATCTATTGCTTGTTAGTCCATAAACATAGAATTAAAAAAAAAACATATTTAATAGTCTATTTGTTATTCAAGACAAAGATATACATCTGTGGCAAATTTAGTCAAAATACATACTGAAGATAACTGTTAACATACATCCATAAAAGTTTTTGGATTTACAATATTAGTTTGAAGTTTGTATAAGTGTTACTTCTTGTTACTTTTCTTTGTTGTTACAATAGGGATTGATATATGTAGTGATTAGACAAGATCATAGCAACATTGGAGATATGTGTTTATCAGAATTTTTAACTACAAAATATACACAATAAGAATGAAATATGAATGTTTTTATTAGTCTGTGATAATGTCTAAGTAAGGCCTTACAATATGAAATGTAAGATGACTGACTACATTTGCATACTACCATAACATTGATTCAATACTTCCGTATTACTACAGGAACTAGGGAAATGCTAGGCATATTTAAACAAAGAAATAGATGTAAAGAACTAAAAGTTAAATGAAAGTCACTCACCTAGAACTTTGTTTACGACATCACAATTTTGCTCAATCTCATGCAGCCACCTCTTGACATTGGCAAAGGACTCTCCGTTTGTGACATCGTACACAACGATGACGCCGTGAGTACCTCGGTAGTACGTGCTCGTAATCGTTCTGAACCTCTCCTGGCCTGCCGTGTCCCATATTTGAAGCTTCACTCTTTCACCGTTTATCTCTAAAGTTCTTATTTTGAAATCAACACCTATAGTTGTAATATAACTACCGGAGAATGTGTTGTCAGCAAACCGGAGGAGGAGACAGCTTTTACCAACACCTGGAATACGGTAACTTTCAATATTTAGCACTGAATGACGTTAGGAAGTAATAACACCACTGGCGATCACAGGCCTCGCCCACTCACCACTGTCACCGATAATCAGCAATTTGAAGAGATGATCAAATTCACGTGCCATTGCTAATGATTTTCGTTGACACTTTACTAATTGGTCATGTGTTTACTGCTAATTTCTTTAATAGTTTAACAACTTTAACTATAGAAATATTGAATAAACGCATGCCGTAAAACGTTACGCTTGCGTCACTTTACAAAACGTCCGCCATTATTGTCTCGTCTTTTTACGTTCCTTTTCTGATTCATACTAAAACAGATTATCTAAGTTTTATTTTACAATTAAAATGCTTTTAAGCGCACCATTATATAGTAAACCAATTTTACTATGCACTAAATAACATTGAACTTAAACATTAGGTATTTTGTTTCAGAAGGGAAATATAATACTTGGTCGCAATTTAAAAGTGAATAAAATGCTTTTTAAACATTCTTTATGTGCTAAATTTTTTTATGAACAAAATTTAACTTACTGTACTGGTAATATACTATAGGACAATCATATTGTAATTCATCGTTGTTTTATAAAACTTACTGAAGTTATTTGCTGTTGAAATTGAAACGAAACGAAACAAAATGTCACTTTCATTTGATTTTGTCAAAGAATTCAATGTGTCATTCTCAAACTTTACTGATAAATAAAGTTTAGGTGTGGTATCCAAGAATTTATTGCAATAATTTGCAACAATGTCGGCTACCTTAAAACCTTATTTAACTGCTGTTCGACACACATTAACTTCAGCTATGTGTCTAGAACACTTTTCATCGCAAGTTGTTGAAAGGTACAACAAACCTGAAGTCGAAGTACGAACAAGCGAAGAGCTGTTGTTAAATCCAGTGATAATATCACGGAATGCGAATGAGAAAGTATTAATTGAGTCATCGATAAATTCCATAAGAGTCAGCATTATGATCAAGCAAGCAGATGAAATAGAGAAAATTCTTTGTAAAAAGTTTATGAGGTTCATGATGATGCGAGCGGAAAATTTTATCGTTCTCCGCCGGAAACCGGTGGATGGGTATCATATCAGCTTCCTGATTACAAACTTCCATACAGAACAAATGTATAAACATAAACTGGTTGACTTTGTTATATATTTTATGGAGGAGATTGATAAAGAGATTAGTGAAATGAAGCTTGCTGTTAATGCTAGAGCTAGAATTTGTTCAGAAGAATTTTTGAAGAGATTTTAAGTGTTTCCTAAACTTAGCTTTTGTGGGAGGGACTATTCTGTATTGTTTCACAACTAACAAACAATACCTTAAACATGACAACTGTGTTTCTTTAAATATAATCAGTATTTTTTGTAATGAAGTTGTTTGGTTTAATAAAATAAATCTTGACTCTTTTATTATTTTCTAGTAATGTACTACTTAAAAATAGAATGTATTTGAATAATTAAATATTCACATTCATAAATTACCCTTATAATTAGATTAGAAAATAATTATATTGCCAAATACATACATTTCCAAGAAAATTATGCTTAGTTATACTTTAAAATGTTATTGTAAGCATTTAATTATTTATAGTTGTAATAAAATTTTCTATTTCTACATTTTGTTTTTGTGAATAATACTTAATTATTACCTAATTTCAATGTTTTCCATTTACTGTAAGGTGTTACAGAACTATAACACATTTCTTTGAAATATTTAAACACAAATCTGGATTTACTAGCTTTTAACTGTAACTGTCCATACAGAAGTAAAAAAAACCTTGTAAGTATCGTTTGTGTTCTTCCTATGTCCTACATATATGCCTAATTTCATCAACAACTGTTGAGACATTTTAAGGATAACAAAGTAAACAAACATCCATTTATTCATCCCACTACTCATTCCCATGTATAGTATTAGATGGAAGAGACAAATACTCTAATTTTAAGTTCTAATAAGAAAACAAACTTGCGGTTTTTATATTTTATTATACAAGAAACAAAAAATATATATTTAGGTTGTTTAAAAGAGCTAAATCTATGACCGGGGCACAACTTAATTTAAATGTTACAAAATTTCTGTTTCAACTGAACGGTTTCATACAGTTAAAACTTGTGTGTAGGAAAATTCTAACTGTAGGTCAAATTCAGTTTTCAATTTCTACACATATCAATTTTAAATGTACACTTCGACTGTTCAGTAAAAACTGAAGGTGGCCAGTGAGCTTTATGAATTAATATAAATAATCTACTAAGAAAACGGAATTCGCAGCTAACACTGAATTATACTTTGTTGTTCAATGAAAACTTTACAAAGTTGGAAAACACGGCAGCTAATATATCAAAGACTTAGTTTTTGGACTTTGCAGTACGTAGAGTGAAACCTTCGCCCTTGAATGCTTCAAACGGTTCTACTGGTGCCTCTTCTTTTGCGCTTGGTGGTCGTGAATTTCTTATAAATCTTAATGTACCGACAGTCCACTCATAATCAGGAATACCGCGCACATAAGACTATAAAAAAAAACATCAAAACCTGCATTAAAATTGAGAAGACACAAAAGGCAAATAAACTGAATATTACAAAAGGTTTTTAAAAGTTAGGTTGAATTTTAGTTAGAATGCGATTTTTAAAACCTAAAGTAACTGCAGCTTCTTTTAGTTTTATTCTTGTATCATCTTCTTGCTGAAATTAGCAATCATAAATCATTGAATAACTGGGATGTATCAATAAATCTTAATTCACCTGTCTGGCCTGTGTACTTTGTAGGTCTGATTCACTCTCACTAGTTAGCTTCTTCTTCTTGCCGTCGAGCCTGTTGCCTTCACCACTGAATGCTATGAAACCACTCGGCTCCGGCATGATCACAGCTGGGTCCTCATCCATACTGACACCTGAACTACCGCCTGCACTTTTCGGGATATGTTCCTCTTCCTTATAACCGACTGGAGGTGCAAACTCGACCTTGAAATTACAAGAAAATTGTGTACGAATTATTAACAAAAAATATGACAGTAACTTCCTTGTATTTGAAAGCTGACAAAAAGTTTTAAAAATATAAATGTAAAAATCTAATGTGTAAACATAAGGTGTTTACTTACGTTCATATCACATTCAATAATTATTACAGCATTGCCCGGTTTTGTTTCTAATACACACAATTCATATACTTTGGAATTATACTTGATGGCAATCACATCACCTGTTGTTAGACATGAGAAATTTCTCAGACAGTTTTCTAGAACTGAAAGCATACAATTTTTTAAGTATCTCTTCTGAGGACACAAAAAAAATAATTAAACAATTCTTTATCAAAGTATGTTATCAATTGAATTGCTGCATTGTTTGTGAGTGAAATAGTCTAAGTGTCTTTATTTTTATATGTTATAAACTAAGCGACCAGTGGTTACACATAAATCCTGTGGGTTTCTGTATCGCTTATAACATTTCTTTATTGTAATTTTTAAATTTATGTTCTTGTCCAATAAAATAAAAAAAAATGGATTAAATATGTTTTGTTGCCATAAAACATTAAAAATGTTACTAATATTATAAATGCGAAAGTTTAGGTGAATGGATGAATGTTTGAGTTTGTAGCCTAAACAACTGAATGGGTCTTGTTAAAATTCGGCATAGATGTAGAGTATAGTCTGGAAGACCAGAGGCTACTTACTTGTTTTAATTTAAGTATAGTATTCTTTTACCTGCTTTTGGATTTGTGATATCCAAGAAATCTTCAGATAACGGCTGGAATTTAGAAAATGTAGCCACTGGTAAAGAGACACTTTCAATCTGAACTACTGTACCTTCTTCAAGTACAAGATTTGCCATCATCTGTAATTATAAATACTGTATTAGGAAATAACAAAGCATATGTTTTATATCTTAGTGATTTGGTGGTCAGAATAGAAACAGAAGAACTGAAATCAATCTTAGAAGAACAAAAGTTGCCAGGCAGATGATCATTTTAGTTGTAGGGAGGTTGTGAGATGCAATTTGAGCATTGTGTTGCAATCAACCTTGATCTACCAAAAAGTTTCAAATTACCCATATCAGTTGTAAATTGTCATTATCTTCCTCCTTATTCTACTCCTATAGGGTCGGTGGAACAGGTTTTTGTCCTCCACATAACTCTATCATACATCATCTCAGCCATCACTCCCTTTTTGATCATGTCACCTTTTACCAAATCCATCCATCTCTATGTTTACATTATATTAATCACAAATATAATGTAGTCAAAAAAAACAGTCATTAAAAACATGTATAGTGAATGATGACAAGGACTAATTTATTGATAATGTTCAAATCATACAAACCCAATGTGGTAGATAAACTTTTCCTTCATCAGCGACAAATTCCAAAACACCACAATGTGTGATTCTGTTAGTTTTCCTGTTTGTCAGTTTAAATATCATTGGGTACTCAATACTCAGTCTGGTTAACATTTCCAGAGCTGACGGTGGCATTATAACTGGAATTGATATTAAAGAATTAAATTAAACATAGTTAAGATAATAATTACATATTATAATTTATTAATCTAATGTATGAGAGTGAATAGATTGCAGTTAACTTTACACAAAATGGTTTAACTTTAACGTAAGATACTATGGTAATGTACAAAGTAATGTCACTTTATTTAAAATAATAACAAAATATTTGATATAATCTTACTTTTTCCTCCTCTTTCTACGTCTTGCCTTTCATTTCCAGGTAGCATTGAGACTGAATAACATCGATAATTCATGTTAAATGGTCGTGTAATTTCATGAAACATGTTGAACCCAAACTGAAACTAAAAACGTGTAAATTAAATGGATAGTGAAATTTATAACCACTGTATAAACTATATAATCTTATTTTAAAGTTTGAAAACTGTACCATTTTGAATAGATATCAAAATATTGCTGCACAATTAAAAACAAAATGCAAATCATTCAATCACAAATGAAGACTTTATTTTGTTGTTTACGTCAATGTCAAAATCAACTTATCTTGTCAATAAGAAACACAGAACACAATAAAACAGAATAATAAAGCAGTTTAAAAGTAGCTGTAGATGGTATTTTTCTATAAATGGATAACTACCATAACCCATAACAACCAGTCTCTATATTCTGAAAAATAGGTACCGTTTTAAGCATTAGGCAAACATGCGTTTATTCGCTTGGTATACTGGCGTTCAAAACATTACTTTTAAAGTTTCCCGTTAGTCACACGGGCGCTTTTTTAACGCGCATTTAAAAGCGTTCAAATAGATAAAATGCATATTCATGTATCGGTTCATACGGTATCGCTTCTTCTAATGCGTTATCCTTTTTATAATGCAGTTTAGCATTTTGCGTGTTGATTGAACGAAACTAAAGTAATTTTATAGTGTTTGTACGTATATGCAAGAGCGTTAAAAAAGCGCCAACCCCGAGCGTTAAATAAGCGACGGCTTAGTGTGTGTCAAGGGGTTGTGATTTCTTTAAAAAGTTACAATGTTCACTGATTATAGTTATTAATTTCACCCTACAAGGCTTTGATTTTTTTACAAGGGTTGTTTTATCGGAATACTTCTCAACAATCTAAAAAAAAATTTAGTTGGCAGCGAGTTGGCTGTTGGCAGATTGGCAGCAATCACCTATCTTCTATCTCCTTTCATCTAGTAATCGAAAATCGTTCGTTTCATTTCATTCATTTGTGTATGTGGCAGCCGTGGGTGCATTATTCGTCATTTGTCGTTACAAATAGGAAAAAGAATAATCGTACAGTTTTTCTTCATGTAGACAAAAGTAAATTCAGTGAGTAAATTTAGTTTTTAGAACTTAGATTGCTAAATAAAATAAATTTTGTCACAATCCGGTCATTGTCAATTTCTTTCAAACATGAATGAACGCCATGTTGATTGTCAAAGGTGTTTTCGGAACGGATGAGATATCAGTGGTTTGAACTTTATGTTAATTTTTCAGGCTCTGCGATATTTAGGCATCGCTGTAAAGCCGATTTGATTTAGATAAAGTAAAGAACATCGCAGCCATGGCACAGGTTTTGCCTATACGTTTTCAAGAGCATTTACAGGTGAGTACGCCCATCGGCTTTTATTGGTTTTGTCGATAGAGCTAGCAAGTCAATGAGAATGATATCAGCTGTAATAAAATATTGAACAAAGGTATCCAGACACTATTATTTGTCTTTTTCAAGACAAATATAAGTGTAGAAATGACATTGCGCAATTGTCGAAGTGACAGTTTCCACCCCCTACTCTGGCTACGATGTACCGGTATTGATCTTTTACAAATTCCTCTCTGGATCATATGATTTGAGGGCAACTAGGCACATTACGGAATATTTAGGTCACGCAAATTTTTACTAACTTCTTCAGTATGTCTTTGTCAATTATCGTAAATCTTATAATGAAATACTTAAGCAACGTCCTCTGTTTCTTATAATTAAATTATACCTCGTTCTTTAGCCATATATTTTGAAAATACATATTTTAAAGTATATATGCATTATTTTTTCTTGTAGGAATCTTATAAGGAATAATGTATATCTTTTATCTAATCTATTTACTGCATTTTAATGCAACTAACTAAAACAATATTATTACTTGTGCTGTTATTATTACTTGAGACAAAAGAAGACATGTAATAAAAAAGGGAGATTTAATCTCTTTTTTGATATTAACCTGGTAATGTGAAACCCCCCCAGTGAGGGGCACAATTATTGAGTAAAAATCCAAGTTACAAGACAGACTGGTTGAAATATAACTGAAACATTAATTATTACATTATTTTTTTTTATTCTTAATTAAATAAGTTTATTTCAGAGTAAAAAGAATAGAACAACAAAAATGAAAGAAAAACATGACTCTGAAGTCTTAGAGTGGGTAGTCAGATATTTTAAATCTCTACTGTTATTGAATTTTAATTTGATTCCTTGATGTACTGCGGTATGCTATCAATAATTCAAAATGGGTCAGTCTAGAGGCGAAATATATCTTTAGTTTAGGAAAACTAATTTTTAGTGTGAGTTTATAATTCAAATGGCATTTTTTTTGTAGCTCACAAATGTTGGAATCAATCCAGCTTCAATATCTTTCAACACCCTCACGATGGAGTCTGACAAGTTCATCTGTGTCAGAGAGAAGGTTGGCGAGACATCGGAAGTGGTCATCATTGATATGGCCGACCCTACCAACCCTATACGGAGACCTATCAGTGCTGACTCCGCTATTATGAATCCAGCAAGTAAAGTTATCGCTCTCAAGGGAAAGGCTGGTGTGGAAGGTCAGTAAAGATTACATAACTACTTAGATGCTCAAGGGTAGCATAGAATTGAATAGTTACATAAGATTTTGGATTTCCTGATTTATTTTTTAATTTACTGAAAATGGATTTAAGTTTACTAACTAAGTTTATTAATACTGCATTGCTTTTAAATACAAAGTATAAAACTATAGTGGAAGTATATTAATTGTAAAATAATCACAAATACAAATACTTTTTATTTTTGTTACACTATCCTTGAAATGTGAAAATACTACTTAGTTAATAACAATTTTATTTAAGCAATAACTTTTTAGCATGTTCATTTCATTATGACCTACCTAAGAAAAACAATTCGGATTCAGGTTTTGATATAATCTACAATCTCTAGAATGTTCTAAAACATTTACAAAAAAATGATAAATTCTATTGTTATTGGCCAAATGTATGTTAGACAAAAGGTACCTAATTATTCTTTAGCTATTTACCCATAGAAATGTGCTCCAAATCAAATATCAATTAAATGAGACAATTTTTTGTTAACACAAAAGATTATTGTTGAAAAGAAATCTCTTAAGATAATAAAGAAAATATTCGGATAATTATAATTGTGCAGTGTCATTTATTGATTACATCAGAGGCGTCTCGGAACAGAAGATACGCGTCGGTGACTCATCTCGTATAATGTATTCCTGACCCAAAACAAAAGCCTAACTACGGAATTACGGAAGCTGAGATATCGCGTAAAATATGAACAATCATTAGATATTTTACTGTTTTTTTTTGGTATTTACAACAAAATAACGTTACTTTGTCAAATTGTATTCGCCGATTTGTAATCTAATTCGGTAAATGAAATAATAAATATATAAATTTACAAGTTGTCGATAGTTTGTAGAGACACTTCCCTGGTTGTCGTTATCGTCTTATGTGCAGCGAATAAAGAATCGAGGACTGGCAGGCTCATGACAATCACAAAAAAAAAATGTTTAAAACTAACAAAAAGGTGTATATTGGGGCCCAGATTAAAAATACCATATGTGATCTTATAAAGTAAGTAAGCTTCTCTTACTTCTTAATTTTTCTCGCTACTGCCAGGCTCGCCATCAAACCAGAATAATAATAAAAAAATATCAAATTCTGGTATAATTGGCACGATAAAATATACTTTTCATTCAACCTTGAATTTATTTTTTCTGGCACAATATTCTGGCATCAGTATAACATAATAGTGTATACCATAAGCCTTATTCTATAATTTATGAATTAAAAATTACATAATACCTTATTTGGGTTACAAACAAAAAATTGTTTCATTCATTAATTTGGGCATAATATAAAAATGTTTGATGATATAAAAACATTATTGGTCTGACAGTAAGTCACTTAACTTCGTTTTATTTGGAACAAAGTAAGAGAGGGCTTGGTAAAGGACGCTAGAAATTTGATGGACTGCTCTTAGTCACGCCTTTCGATTATGTAAAAAGCTATTTTTAGGTTGTATATTATCCAACGTAAACTAAATCAAATCAAATAATTAGACATAATATAATTCCTATTGAAAAAGTCGATACAAGTGTAGATGATGTTTGTCGGTTACAGTACCCAAATCGATTGATCCGTTTAGACTACACATGTCACATTGGATTGGATATAGATATCCACATACAAGTATACTCGCGATAAATGCGTCTAATATTACGAACTAGTGCAATAATTGCCTCTCTCTAAAGCTACACTACATACGCTAACTTCGAACAATGTAATTTTGCAAGTGTAGGCTAAACTTTAACTGTACAGTGCTGTACTAAAGTCATAGTTGAAATTTTGCCTACACACGCAGATTTAACAGTTTAAATATCAGAACTAAGCGTCTGTAGCGGGCTTAATATAATTAGGTGTATAAAATATACTATATTAGTTATGTCAAACACTTTTGTGTGATAATCTGTTTGACGCCATATAGTTGGAGATTAGATATTTTGTAGTGACTCGATTAAAAAGTTAGTCAGTTTCATTTGAAGATATAACTGGGGGTTTCCACTACTGAAACATACGAAAACGTTGTCATCACTTTCAATCTTATTAAAAAAGACATACAGATGAGTTAATAACTTTTTTGTTTGTTGGTTAAAAACACATTAATAATATGTTTTTGTACAAATCAGTCGTATTCATGGAATCTTATTATTCTCAAGTGTGAGCGTATAATCTAAACAAGGTGAATGTACCACTTTTATCTATACTAATAATATAAAGAAGAAACATTTGTATTTTTGTAGGTACTGAATAAATATAAATCAAAAACTACGTGAAGGACTTAAAAAATTCTTTTGACATTAGAAAGTCATATAAAATGATTATTACAAAATAACATTGGCTATATGTACTGTTTTAGGCGCAGACGAATTCGCGAACTAAAACTAGTACTGACAATAATCGCTGTATACAAACAATTCATACAAATCTATGTACTATAGCGCATTTGATATCGTCCAATGTCAAATTACACAGATAGTGTCAACGTTCGCTTATCTAATAATACGCTGGTTTTGTATATATATCACCAGCTCGCTATATGTCCCCACTAAGGGGCTTGGAGTCTACCCTAAGTAAGGGGAGATTAGGCCTTAGACAGCCTTGCTGGCGCACTGCGGGTTGGTTGACTTCACACATATCTTTGAATTTCTTCGCCCATATGTGCAGGCATCACGATGTTTTCCTCCACCGTA